CAGTCTCTTTGGTCCAATCTACTTTTCATAATGAACCCAAAGGGATATTTTAAAAGCCCATCCTTGATAATGCCCCTTCCCTGTGCCCCCCCCGCCCCAAGGTTGTTGTTTTTTTGTGGCCCCCAAACAATGTTCATATTCCTAAGCATGGCATTCAGGGCCATCATGATAAAGCCCCACCTATCTTAATAACCTCATCTCTGGCTATCCATACCTTTCATCTCAAATTGGTTCCTATGCTCAAGACAAACTAAACTTTTTATTTTATTTTATTTACATTTTCTTAGACAAGTCATGATCTTCCAAGTTGTTCTTTGTCTGAAATGCCCAACTTTTTCTCCACCTATTGCAATCCTTCAAAATCCAGCTCAAAAGTTACCTCTTTTATAAGACCTTCTTCAACTCTTCTAGACAGAATTAGTATTGTCTTCCTCTTAGCACTTATTAGCATGATTCTACTTGTATTATAACAGTTGATCTAGTTCTCCTGCTGGACTAGTATATAATCTTTTAAAGCTTTTCCCTACCATTTACCCACACATAGAAGAGAGGCCACGTGCCTGTTTGTGAGGCCTCCCTGTCTGATCCTGATTCCTAGTTCTCCACAGTTTGTGGGGCTGGTTTGTGTGTTTTCCTATGGAAGTGGAGGGCTGGTTAGGGAAAGGGGATGACACTGAACTCTTATTACCTGACAGGAAAAACGAACTCTCTTTTCATAAAGAGTATGGACTGTGGAAACAGACTTCAAGACTTGAAACCTGGCTCTGCCACTTACGAGTTTTGTGACATTGAGTCTCTCTGTGCCTTAGATTCCTTATCTGTAAAATGAGGCTAATAGGAGTTTACTACTTTATAGAGCTGTTTTAAGGATTACATGCGATAATCCACATAAAGCACTTAGAACAGGCACTGGCACAGAGTAAGTGCTCAAATAATGGTATCTGTTATCATTATCATTATACCATTGTCATTATTATCATCATTACCACTATTATCATTATTTTTACTCAGCACACCCCAGAACCTGGAAATGGTTTCCCTGGCAGAAGGGCCTAGTTCACAATTTTTCCTATCATTCCATCTCCGATTTCCCCAAGCCAGGAGAAGATCCTTTTCCATGTGGAAGGTGGTGGCCACTCTGAGACTGTGTATGTGGATCATCTTTATGAAGATTGGATCTCTTACACTGTATTGAGATGGTAATGATACTGTTATTATCCTTAGGGCACAGGCAACCCCTGTTGTCTAAAGAAGCACAGGGATGGAATTTCCTAGGCTCTCTCCACCAAAAGAAGAAAGTATTCAGATAGGAACATGCAACTGAAATGTTGGGCCTAAAGTATATGGGAGGAAGATTTCACGTCACTGTATACTTCATTGTTTTGAGAGGGTAGATGTGCCTGAGGTTACTCCTGAGTGCTGGATGTTTAAAGATGGCCCCTGCCACAAGGCATGTCCTGGCAGGCACGTGATCTAGTTACATGGCACTTTTTTTTTGATCGGTAAGGGGATTGCAACCCTCGGCATGGTGTTGTCTGCACCACACTCAGCCCGTGAGCACATTGGCCATCCCTATATAGGATACACGCTGCACTCTCCCGAGTGAGCCACCGGGCCAGCCCTAGTTACGTGGCACTTTTGTTTTTATGTCCCTCCCATTATTTGTGAGCCTAAGGTAATTTTTTGTTTGCTCTAGTCTGATTGTAATTGTACTAGGGTTAATAGAAGAAGGGCCATGAATCTACTCTGGAACAAGAGTAGGGGAACTCCCCTTGGCCCCGGCCCCTTTGGTAGGAGCAGCAGTAATTAGTGACATATTCCCAAGGAGAATAAAACTCTCTGGGGGAAAAAGTTTTGCAGCAAGACTTCTCACATGGAAACTCTTGCCTCACTGCCCACTTGGAGCATAATAGTATAAATAATAACTATCAATTATTGAGAGTTTTATGTACCAGGCACTGAAATAATTATATCATCTCCTGTAATCTTCACCACAACCTTATGAGACAGGTACTCTTATTATTCCCATTATACTGAGGACAAAATATGAGGTACAGAGAGAATAGGGAACTTGTCCAAGGTCCCACAGTTGGTAAGAAACATAACTGTGGTTCAGACCTAGCCACCTGGCTCCAGAGCCTGCATTTCTTTTAACATTTTATTATGGAGAATTTTAAACATAAACAAAAGTTGAAAAAGTATAATGAACATCCCATGTTTCAACATTTATCAGCACATGCCCAATTTGGTTTCATCTATACCCCTACCATCTCCCTCAACCCAGACATCATGTCATTTCATCTGTGAATGTTTCAGTATGTATCTCTAAAAGATAAGGACTCTTTTTAAAGAAAAGCCATAATACCATCATTATATCTAGAAGGGAAAAAAATAAAAAAACAGTAATTCCTTAAGAGCAACCATTTAGTCAGTGTCCAAATTCTCCTATTATCTCATTAAAAAAAAAAAAAAATCAGGATCCAAATAAGATCTATGCATTGAAATTGGTTGAGACTCTCTCAGATCTTACTTTGCCAACTGGAACCTCTATTCTTAACAACTACACTCTGATCTAGGTTTCCTATTACAAAGGAAGGTTACGGTTTTCTTACAGCAGGAGTTCTCAATCTGGGGTTCACTGTTGGTTTTAGGGTGCTCCATGAATCACTTAAAATTTGTTTTCAAAATTTTGACTGTATTCGTGTATGTTAATTTCTCTAGGGAAAGTTCCCTGGCTCTTACCAGGGTATCAAAAGCTTTATGTATGGCTCAGAGCCACTGAAAAGCATGTACCAATATCAAAGAAAATTTTAGACCACAAAAGTTGGGGGAAGAACATAAAGTGGATAGTTCGGGGTTTCTTTATAGGGGTGGAAAAAGAAGTTAAATTCAGTTATGCTTATTAACCTGAAATTCAAGAGACCTTAACAAATTACTTTTGAAAGAAATAATTAAGAACTAATGTTTTATTTAAAAAGAATAGCATATGCAATTGATTGAGGACTCTTAAGTCCTTTTTGAATTGCATATTCTTTTGAATAAAACATCTTGATTTATTGTGGTTTACTGAATTGTGAAAATCATACTTGGATCTTGAATTATATTCCTTATTTGGATGGGACCTGTGACTTCACATGAATTGGGGATAATGGAGACTGATTTTGTAGGATACAGTTGATTTGTTCCACAATGATACCTCCTTTTAAAATGCATACAACTTTTCAAAATTTAGTATGTATGAATGTATCAAAAATGAAAGGGTTTTAAATGTTATCATTAATTTTCTCTTTTTCCACCAACTTTTTCCAGATGAAATCCAACATCAAACACCAAATGGTACTATTACCAGCACCACAGAACCGCCCAAGCCATCACAACATCCCAAACTACCTATTCAGAGAAGCGGAGAAGCTGATTCTGGGAGGAAGTCCCCAAGCAGGCCTGTTTCAGATGGCAAGTTGGAGCCCTGCCCTGAGGTGGATGTGGGAAAGTTTGTGTCTAGGCTACAGGATGGAGGGAGCAAGGCCACCCCAAAGGCCACCAATGGACCCGTTCCAGGCTCTGGGCCCACCAAAACCACCTCTTTCCACGTAAAGAGACCAGCTCCACGGCCCCTGGCTCACCACAAGGAGGGTAAGTGTTTTGGAATCCCATGGAAACTAGAATTGAACCCAAATATTTTTCACCGTGGTATCCTTCCGAGGTTGGAGATATATTTAAGGGGAAATATGTTTCAGTTTACTACCACTACTATTGCAATGGTGCTCAAGACCATAAAAACCATTTAAAATAATGACTAAGAATGCAAGGTCCGTGAGGTCAGGGATTTTTTGCCTGTTTTGTTTACCTTTGTATCCCAGATGCCTAGAACAATGCCTGGCTGGCACATAGCAGGTACTTGTAATTTGTGGAATAAATGAATAATAATGATATTTATCAATTTTTTTTTCGTGCTGCTGTTGTCATTTGTTAAGTATCTGCTATGTGCTTGGCGCTGTACTAAGTACTGATATACTAATTCTTATCCTCATGACGTTACTGTGAAGAATGTATTATTCTTATTTTTTTATATTAGGAAACTGAGGCTCCTAAAGATAAGTGACTTGCCAAAGATTAACAGCTAGCAGTTGTCGGAGTTGGGGTCTAAATCTTACTGTGTCTAGCAGGTGCCAAAGTCTGGGTTCTTTACATTAAGGTAAAACTATCACTTTATCTTCCTGTAAGAAACTTTGAATCTGTGAAACATTGTTTTCTTATTCTCACTTTCCAGTTTGGGAGAAATAGGGACAGAGGGGTACAACTTCTGCAGAAGTCTGGACTTATGAAATTATTACAAATTCAAGATGTGGCTTACTTCTCCAAATTTAATTGGCTGCTACACATGGAGACTCATATTGAGAGGTTGGGGCCAATCCAGAGGGGAGATTTGAAGGATATAATTCTGTAAAGACAGTATGGTATAATTGAAACAATATGGACTTTGGTATCAGAAAGGCTTGGATCCAAATCCTGGCTTTTTTACTTTGTACCTAAATGACCTTCTAAAAGTATGCCTTATGTGTTTATATCTTGTCCTCTTCTAAAAAAGATTTAAGGCATTTCACAATATAGCAAAATATGAAAACTTAAAAGTAGTAAGAATAATTTATTCAATAAGTATTTATTGAGTACTGACTCTGTATCTGGCCTCATTCTAAGTGTTGAGGACATAGGAAGGAATAAAATACACAAGGTCCCTGTCCTCTTGAGGCTTAGATCAGAGCTTGGCAAACTATGGCCTGTGGGCCAGATCAAGCTCACTGCCTTTTTCTGTGGCCTGAAAGCTAAGAATGTTTTAAATGTTTGAAAAAATTAAAAAATATATATATTTCATAATACATGAAAATTATATGCAATTCAAATTTGTGTCCATAGACCTGCCCCCTCATTGATATATTTTCTAGGGCTGCTTTCAGGCTACAACAACAAAATTGAGTAGTAGCAACAGAGACCTTATGGCCTGCGAAGCCTAAAATGTTAACTATTTGACCCTTTACAGAAAAAGTTTGCTGACCTTTGCCCTAGGTTCTAGAGTACAAGTAAGAAAAAGTAAGGCCTAGGGTTTTGGCAGGGTGGGGGTAGGTAGGCTAGTAGGGAAATAGCAGGAATGTAGTTAGTATACAGAATGTTTGCCATGAAGCCTTGCACACTTGCTGGAGCAGTGTCACAGAGTTGGCTCCAAACTTTCTAGAGGAAGCAAAAAAAGAGAAACCTCAGTGGTTATATAATTCCATGTTCTTAAGGTAAAAGCAAGCAGTTGTTCAGGTAAAGCCCAACTCTTCTGTTTTTAAGTCCAGGGATCAACTTCTCCCATGGTTTGTTGCATATAACAACCTCAGTACTGGCTGATGGCATTATTTCAGAGCACAATTTAGTTAAAGCTATCCTGTGAAGAGTCCAGTACAGTTTCCACTGAGTGATTGACTCTGAATTCTCTGGCATTGTCCACTAATACATCTGTGTGATCACAGTTAAGTTGTTTAACCACTTTGCACCTTGGTTTCCATTTCTGTCAAATGGGAGAAACAGCTCACCCCACAGAATTATTACTAGGATTAGAAGGAATAACAAATAAAATATCTGTCACATAATTAGCACTCAAAATATGGTATTAATTCCCTCCCCCTGTCCCTCTCCTCCCTAAGACTTGCCTCTTCTGGGAAGTAGCCAAGAAAGACCAGACTTCTATGTAGACATCTGCTTCAGTTTATAAGTTATTGACCTTCATATCAATCTGGTGGAAAGTTGGGTAACTCAACTACACTCATCGCAGTAAAATTTATCTTGCCTTTCGCCAAGACTTGAGATTGGCCAGATCTATCACCTTAGCACACACAGTAACTTTGCCCTCCCTGTCAATTCTGCCTTCACTCTCTTCTACTGCAAAGTTGAATCCCAGTGGCATTTTCCTCTTCCCCTTCTTCCACAGTCCTGCCCTGGGCTGCTGGAGGCAGCTGCTCTGATCTAATGATCTCAGTTAATGTTAGTACTGATCTGACTTGTGTAGTATCAGCCAGAGTATCTAAATCTAGGCTGCAGCATTGTCTGGCTTTGCCTTCTGCCTTCAATCAGTTAGCAACATGCTGGAATAACACAGCTTTTTTTCAAAACTCCATGGCTTCAGTGTTGGCTGCTGAAAGCAGAACTAAGGTGGTTTTGGCCTTGGTGGAGAATTAGCCAGATTTCTGGTGTAGTTGCCTCTTTGAGACTTACCTACTCCACTTCCTCACCTCTTCCTCCCTCCCTTCCCATTTTGGCTTCTGCTGTGGTAAATTCCCTAGCATCGAAACAATTATAAATTAAGCAAAGCTGCAAACATCTCTGACTCTAAGCTATATCCGATAGCTGTTAGCCCCTGGTGCTGGCCAGCAGCCTGAATGGCAGTAACAGAGGGAAAGAGCTATTACCTCAGCTGACCCACTCTGCCCCTTGCACTGACCCTACTTTTCAGCTCTGTCATTCAGGGAGGCATTCAGCCTGCCATCCTGAGGGGCAGTGCACAGACTTCATTGCTTTCGTGATTCAGCTGTGTCACCGTCCTGCCTTCCATCTTAACCTCTTGCATTGACCCAACATTTGAGTAGACTTGATATTTTCGACATTTTTCTCAACAACTAAAAAATAGCAAAAGCATGGTGCATGTTCAATTGCTTTCTTCCATGACAGTCAACTTAACAATAAAATTGATATTATTTGCTGATGGAATTTTGTTAAGGGCACTTTTTCTGTTCTAGTCAAGGCGCTGGATAATTTCTCTTCTTCTATTGCATCTAATCACTGTGATAGGCCTGTGAGGTAGATTGTACTCTCCCCATCTCAAGATGGAGAAACTGAGGCTCAGAGACATGAAACAACTTGCCCAAAGTTATACAGGTTTTAAGGTGCAGAGACAGGGCTTGAACATAAGCTTGTTTGGTCCAAGATCAGGACTCTGCTTTATACCACATTCTTATTTCATTTCTTTTCTTTTTTTATTTTATATATGCAATATAGTTGATTTTCGTGTCCCTTTACCAATTTCTTTTTCCACCCTCCCTCTACCCCCTCCCCCCATCTACATCATATCTGTTCACTTGTCTTAACAAGTTCAAGAAATTGTTGTGATTGTTATATCTTCTTCCCCGCCCTCCCCCCCAACTGTTTGTTTGTAAATTTATTTATTTGTTTATTTTTTGCTTCCACAAATAAGTGAGAACATGTGGTATTTCTCTTTCTGTGCCTGACTTATTTCACATAACAAAATTTTTTCTAAGTCAATCCATGTTGCTGCAAATGGTAGTATTTCATTCTTTTTTATAGCAGAGTAGTATTCCATTGTGTAGATATACCACAGTTTCTGTATCCACTCATCTGATGGTGGACATTTGGGCTGTTTTCAACCCTTGGCTATTGTAAATAGTGTTGCAATAAACATGGGAGTACAGGTATCCTTTCAACATGATGATTTCCATTCCTCTGGGTATATTCCCAGCGGTGGAATAGCTGGGTCATATGGTAGATCTATCTGTCATTGTTTGAGGAACCTCCATACCATTTTCCATAAAGGCTGCACCATTTTGCATTCCCACCAACAGTGTATGAAGGTTCCTTTTTCTCTGCAACCACGCCAGCATTTCTCATTCTCAGTCTTTTGGATTTAGCCATCCTAACTGGAGTGATATGGTATCTCAAAGTGGTTTTGATTTGCATTTCCCAAATGCTGAGTGATACTGAGCATTTTTTCATGTGTCTGTTGGCCATTTGTATATCTTCCTTTGAGAAATGCCTATTCAGCTCCTTTGCCCATTTTTTAATTGTGTTATTTATTTTCTTGTTGTAAAGTTGCTTGAGTTCCTTGTATATTTTGGATATTAATCCTTTGTTAGATGTATATTTTGCAAATATTGTCTCCCACTCTGTTGGTTGTCTTTTCACTCTGTTAATTGTTTCTTTTGCTGTGCAGAAGCTTTTTATTTTGATATAATTCTATTTGTTTATTTTTCCTTTAGTTGCCTGTGCTTTTGTGGTTGTATTCATGAAATCTGTACCCAATCCTACTTCTTGGAGTGTTTCCCCTATGTTTTCTTTAAGGAGTTTAATTGTTTGGGGGTGTATATTTAATTCTTTAATCCGTTTTGAGTTGATTTTGGTATATGGTGAGGTACAGGTGTAGTTTCATTCTCCTACATATGAGTATCCAGTTTTCCCAGCTCCATTTGCTGAAAAGGCAGTCTCTTCCTCAGTGTGTAGACTTGGTGCCTTTGTCAAAGGTCAGATGGCTGTAGGTGTAGTGGTTGATTTCTGGATCCTCTATTCTATTCCATTGATCCATGTGTCTGTTTTTATGCCAGTACCATGCTGTTTTGGTTATTATAGCTTTGTAGTATAGTTTAAGGTCAGGTAGTGTTATGCCTCCAGCTTTATTTTTTTTTTGCTCAGGATTGCTTTGGCTCTTCATGGTCTTCTGTTATTCCATATAAATGTTAGGATAGTATTTTCCATTTCAGAGAAAAATGTCATTGGAATTTTGATGATGAATATAGATGCAAAAATCCTCAATAAAATAGTAGCTAACAGAATACAGCAACACATACAGAAAATTATACAACATGATG